TGTTCTGGTATTATCATATAACAGGAGATTGGGAAGGGAATCCTGGATTCTGAACTATCCTTTCAGGCCCACATCCAATCCCTGTCCAAATCATGCCGCCTCAACCTCCCCAACATCTCCGGAATACGCCCCTTCCTAACCAATGACATCACAAAGCTCCGAATTCACTCCCTGGTCATCTCTCGCCTCGACTACTGCAACTCCCTCCTCATTGGCTTACCTTTACAGAGACTATCCCCCCTCCAGTCCATCATGAATGCTGCTGCCAGGCCCATCCACCTTTACCAACCATTCAGTGTCTGCTACCCCTCTCTGCCAATCCCTCCACTGACCTCCAGTCAGTGTCCTCCACCCCCTCTCTGCCAATCCCTCTATTGACCTCCAGTCAGTGTCCACCACCCCTCTCTGCCAATCCCTCCACTGGCCTCCATTCAGTGTCCCCCACCCCTCTCTGCCAATCCCACCACTGACCTCCATTCAGTGTCCTCCACCCCTCTCTGCCAATCCCTCCACTGACCTCCACTCAGTGTCCTCCACCCCTCTCTGCCAATCCCGCCACTGGTCTCCATTCAGTGTCCTCCACCCCTCTCTGCCAATCCCTCCACTGGCCACCATTCAGTGTCCTCCACCCCTCTCTGCCAATCCCTCCACTGGCCTCCACTCAGTGTCCTCCACCCCTCTCTGCCAATCCCTCCACTGGCCTCCACTCAGTGTCCTCCACCCCTCTCTGCCAATCCCTCCACTGGCCTCCACTCAGTGTCCTCCACCCCTCTCTGCCAATCCCTCCACTGGCCTCCACTCAGTGTCCTCCACCCCTCTCTGACAATCCCTCCACTGGCCTCCACTCAGTGTCCTCCACCCCTCTCTGACAATCCCTCCACTGGCCTCTACTCAGTGTCCTCCACCCCTCTCTGCCAATCCCGCCACTGGCCTCCACTCAGTGTCCTCCACCCCTCTCTGACAATCCCTCCACTGGCCTCCACTCAGTGTCCTCCACCCCTCTCTGCCAATCCCGCCACTGGCCTCCACTCAGTGTCCTCCACCCCTCTCTGCCAATCCCTCCACTGGCCTCCACTCAGTGTCCTCCACCCCTCTCTGCCAATCCCTCCACTGGCCTCCACTCAGTGTCCTCCACCCCTCTCTGACAATCCCTCCACTGGCCTCCGCTCAGTGTCCTCCACCCCTCTCTGCCAATCCCTCCACTGACCTCCATTCAGTGTCCTCCACCCCTCTCTGCCAATCCCTCCACTGGCTTCCACTTGCCCAATGAATAAAATTCAAAATACTAGCAGCAACTTACAAAGCCATCCACAACTCTACCCCCAGCTACATCACCAGCCAAACCAATATCTACCAAAAACGCTCTCTTCGATCCTTCCAAGACCTTATGCTCTCTAGTTCCCGTGTCACCTCCTCCCATGCTCGCCTCCAGGACTTCTCCCGAGCTTCTCCCATTGTATGGAACTCCCTGCCCCAATCTGTCCAGCTGTCTCCTAATCTATCCACCTTTAGATGATCCCTGAAAACCTTTCTCTTTAAAGAAGTCTATCCTGCTTCTACCTAGTAAACTGCCATTTATTTCCTCCATCAGCTCCTCCCCCCACAGCTATTACCTTTTGTATCACTCAACCCTTCCTCCTAGATTGTAAGCTCTAACGAGCCGAACCCTTTGTTTCCTCTTGTACCAAATTGTATTGTAACTGTAATGTCTGCCTTCATTTTGTAAAGCGCTGAGCAAACTGTTGCACTATATAAATCCTGTATAATAATAATAATAATAATAATAATAATAATGTTTTCTGCCGGATAGTTCCCAGAGTTCAGTCCTGTATAAGGGAAATGTGTATTTCCAGGCCTGAAAATGACTGAAACTAATAGAAACAGGAAAATGAGGAATCGAATAATCGTCACCATTTATTATTACCATGAAAGTGAATTTACTCTGCAATATAAATCAAAATAGAACATTGTGTAGAAATGATTACTAAAATTGGAGCACTTTCAGGGACAAACCTGTAAATCCCAGAACTGTCCCTGGAATCCAGACACTGGGTGTTAATTCTTCACATTTATTGTATATAAAGGGCCTCTGTCATGAGATAATCGGGCTGCCATTGTTGAACTCTCCTTTAGACAATGCTGGTTCCCTGGATGTCATCTCACTGCTTTAGCGTCAATCTTTGACCCAGAAAAAGTATAATGATAAGAAATTCTGACACTTTTCTGATTCTTATTTACAGCACACTTGTTCCAGGGGCGGTGACCTAAATGTTCCTAATTTGGACTCAGCCAGGTAACTAGCATTTTACAAACAAGGCCTTCAATAGCAGTCTTCGTATTTCTAATATCACACTTCCTCCAAGCATTGGTTGCACAATGGACCAATCCCACCACCCGTCCCTGTAATGTCTCCAGACTTTGGTTCTCACATCTCCTGATATATTTTTATGTGTTGTCTATGTTGTTTTCTATGTTGTAGGCGGAGTTCTCACATCTCCCAATTCCCCCCACAGATCTTTATACAACCTTTTTGTACACATATTCCAGCATGGAGGGGCTCAGTGAAGGTGGTGGTGAAGGTGTGGAGGTGTCGGATCGGGTCACACAGATCATAGAAGGAGATCCGCCCGGCCTCGTAATCCAAATATATCCTGACTCTGTTACTGAAGAGATTGGAAGCCAAGTGGATAGTTTTACTGTTACCTATCATGTCATAACAAACACCTTGCTGTTCAAAACACCAGGCCTTGCCACTGCTTCCAATGATAGAATTCCTGTCTATACTGGGGTAACACATCCCGACTCTCCATCTATATGACCCCCCGACATCCACTTCCCAGTAATGTCTCCCGGAGAAGAAGCTCTGACTGCTCATCACCTGAGGACAAAACTGAAACCTCTCTGGTGTTTTGGGACGATTCTGAAATATTTCTGACCAGGACGCAGTTTTCCTGTCATCTGATATCTCTAGCCTATTATCAGCTGTGTTCACATCCAGTAATATGTCCTCAGCCCCCTGTATATAGAAGTATACATTTCCCTCTGTTATTATATCAGATATACCTGTGTGTAAGACCCCCCGCCACATCCACCCCCCCTCCATCATGGAGGAGGTCCTCATGTCTCTCTCTGTCCTCATCATCTCCATCCTCAGTATCACACAAGTCACCTGTGTCTGATTCCTGTAGGACAGTCGGTGGATCCGTCATGTTACACATCTCCTCAATGTCATTCATCTTCCTGGACAGTTCAAACTTCTTTAATTCCAGCTTCTGGATGAGACCTGAAGTGGAGAGTATCACCTGCTTTGCCTGTCCCAACATCCCCTTCAGGACTCTCTTCTCCAGGGCTTCCAGACATCTCCCGAGTTGTCCATACATGGCAGTGACTCTCTCGGTGTCACCAGCTGCTTCTTCTACTTTCCTCCTGTGTTCCTGCAGACTCTGGACTCTTTCCTCCATCTCCTCTCTCTTTGTCAGAAGTTTCTGTAGAACATTCCTCAGTGTCTCCTTCTTCTTCGCAGAAGCCTCATCCAGTGACACCATCTCATGTCCTTTATGTCCTCCAACCACATAGCAAGACTCACAGATGCAGGCATCATCCTCAGTGCAGAAATACTTCAAACCTTCCCCATGGACAGAGCATATCCTTCTCTCCAGGGACAATGTGGGGTCAGTAAAGATCGGTTCTGGTGTCTTTTTGTGGACTCCAGAGTCCCCGGACTCCTCCTGATCTGGCTGAGCAGACAGGAACTTCTCCACTATGTTATGCAGTGTTATGTTCCTGTGCAGTGCAGGCCGATCCAGGAACTTCTCTCTGCATTGAGGACAGAAGATATCTCCAGACCCCTCCTGTGTATCCAGCACACGACCAATACAAATCCGGCAGAAGTTGTGTCCACATATCAGCATCACAGGATCGGTATAAATGTTCGTACAGATGAAACATTCCAGCTCAGCTCCCAGGAAAGCAGCCGCCATCGCTGACAGCAGAAGAGAAATGAAATAAGTGTCTCTAATACTAAAAATGATGTTGAACCGGTTCCAGCTTTTCTGTACGGGGCGCGGCTGAGCTGATATTTCAGTTGATTGAAACACTTTCAGTGGAATTAGCAAAACAAACATGGACTTGAGGAAACCTCTATGGGTGGTAGAGACAATGTTCAGGTTAGAATGAGGAACATTTTTACAGTCTGACATACCACTGGGTTCATGTATGGTGTAAGGTAGGAGAAGACCCCCTGTCAGCAATCAGTTTGTGTCCTTGTTGTAGATGTTCCCTCACTTCCTTTCTGATAAAACATTGGGGTGGATTTACTAAGGCCAAATAGACTTTGCAAAGTTCAGTTGCACTCCGCCAGAGCAGTTGCTCCCGAGCTTAGTAAATGGGCAGAAGCTCTGCTGACTTCCATCAGCTGATCATATGCTAGTGTAGCGCTCACCCCGAAGGAGCCGCTGGAATTAACGGGCACTGCCGTCCTTACTTTAGTGATGAACCATTTATATATTGGATCCACAGCACACCAGTACATCTTGTGGGAAGTTTTATAACAGGTTTAATAAGACTGAGCTTGTAATATTTCCTCCCCCCGATCCCCCACTCATGACCTTACCATTAAGATCAACAGCACAACCATTGGTCCTTCCCCTCATGCCAGGGTGCTAGGCGTAATCCTAGACTCTGACCTCTCCTATGGGCCCCACATCCAATCACTGGCTAAATCCTGCCACCTCAACCTCCGCAACATTTCCAAAATCCGCCCCTTCCTGACCAATGACACCACAAAACAACTTATCCCGCCATGGTTATATCCCGCCTCGATTACTGCAACTCCCTCCTCACTGGTCTACCGTTACACAGGCTATCCCCCCTTCAGTCTATTATGAATGCTCCTGCTAGACACATACACCTTACCAACCAATCAGCGACTGCTGCCCCTCTCTGCCAATCCCTCCACTGGCCTCCACTCAGTGTCCTCCACCCCCTCTCTGCCAATCCCTCCACTGGTCTCCACTCAGTGTCCTCCACCCCTCTCTGCCAATCCCTTCACTGGCCTCCACTCAGTGTCCACCACCCCTCTCTGCCAATCCCTCCACTGGCCTCCACTCAGTGTCCTCCACCCCTCTCTGCCAATCCCTCCACTGGCCTCCATTCAGTGTCCTCCACCCCTCTCTGCCAATCCCTCCACTGGCCTCCATTCAGTGTCCTCCACCCCTCTCTGCCAATCCCTCCACTGGCCCCCACTCCGTCTCCTCCACCCCTCTCTGCCAATCTCTCCACTGGCCTCCATTCAGTGTCCTCCACCCCTCTCTGCCAATCCCTCCACTGGCCCCCACTCAGTGTCCTCCACCCCTCTCTGCCAATCCCTCCACTGGCCTCCATTCAGTGTCCTCCACCCCTCTCTGCCAATCCCTCCACTGGCCTCCATTCAGTGTCCTCCACCCCTCTCTGCCAATCCCTCCACTGGCCCCCACTCAGTCTCCTCCATCCCTCTCTGCCAATCCCTCCACTGGCCTCCATTCAGTGTCCTCCACCCCTCTCTGCCAATCCCTCCACTGGCCCCCACTCAGTGTCCTCCACCCCCTCTCTGCCAATCCCTCCACTGGCCTCCATTCAGTGTCCTCCACCCCTCTCTGCCAATCCCTCCACTGGCCTCCATTCAGTGTCCTCCACCCCTCTCTGCCAATCCCTCCACTGGCCCCCCACTCAGTCTCCTCCATCCCTCTCTGCCAATCCCTCCACTGGCCTCCATTCAGTGTCCTCCACCCCTCTCTGCCAATCCCTCCACTGGCCCCCACTCAGTCTCCTCCATCCCTCTCTGCCAATCCCTCCACTGGCCTCCATTCAGTGTCCTCCACCCCTCTCTGCCAATCCCTCCACTGGCCCCCACTCAGTCTCCTCCATCCCTCTCTGCCAATCCCTCCACTGGCCTCCATTCAGTGTCCTCCACCCCTCTCTTCCAATCCCTTCACTGGCTTCCACTAACCCAACGTATATAATTCAAAATACTAACCACAGCATACAGAGCCATCCACAACACTGCCCATAGCTACATCGCCAACCTCATCCACAGATACCGACCATATCACCCACTCCGCTCCTCCCATGATATCCTCCTCTCTAGCTCCCTCATCACCTCCTCCCACGCTCACCTCCAGGACTTCTCCAGAGCCTCTCCCATCCTCTGGAACTCCCTACCCCAGTATGTCCGGTCAGCCCCCACCCTGTCTGCCTTTAGGCGATCTTTGAAAACTCACTTCTTCAGGGAAGCCTACCCCACCTCCACCTAAGAACTGTACTTGAGTCACCTCCACCAGATCATCCCCCGCAGCTATCACCTTTTGTATCCCCTCCCCCTTCCTTCAGATTGTAAGCTCCACGATCCGGGCCCTCCTATTCATTCTGTACTGAAATGTATTGTAATTGTACCGCCCCCCCCTTATATTGTACAGCGCTGCGCAGACTGTTGGCACCATATAAATCCTGTATTATAATAATAATAAGACAAGCAAAACTCTGCAAATAGACTGCAAATGAACTTGGAAAATAGCAGTTAAATGCATTGAATACACAAACCTTCTAGAATTGTCACAATAACATCAATAATCACAATATTCATGTATACCAGTATATACCGGTATAGCTATAGATCACTATTACCCCCCAGCAACTACAGCAGCAATATGTCCCCAGCTAAACTGACGTCTCTTTAGGCTCAGCCCCAAATTCACGTGTTTGCTGTGGGATTGTAACACTGTGTGAGTCTATGTGTTGCACAGGCCTGTGTTAGCGAATTGGTGGAGAGCTCTTAAGGACTGAAATGTCACAGGTTAGCAGTTGCTCACCATATCCACGAAGAACAGTCTCCAGGGGTTAACTCCTTGAAGGGATGATGAATGGGGTTCTGTTGTTTTCTATTGTCAATCGGTGCTGCACAATCTCTGAGGTCCTCACCTGGGATAATCACACTCCTCCTCTGCGATTTCCTGATCTCTCTGCGGTGGGAGATGGCGTTGCTGTCGGTAACTGCCGTTGCGGGTGTGATGGCTATTTTGGGCCTATAATAATTTTCACCTTCTTGGGCCTACAATAATTTTTAATATTATTGTGAACTTCTGATAGGGGTCTCAATTGCTGTAACTTATTTACCATCTGTTGCGTCACCTCAACACCCCCCCCCCCACCTTAGGTTTCCTATAGAGGTCTATGAAGCCCTGGCGCCATCATTTCTAACACCTCCTAGGGAGTAAGTGGCTTCACAGAAGGTATGCTTCCTGGACATTGGCCCGTCCTAAATTCCATCTGATGAACTACAGTTGGCCAATGTATTTCACAAATCACAGAGCCCCCGTTTGAACAGAAATGGCAAAATACTGGAACCTATTGAAGGGTGGGACTACCTGGAAGGGAAGGGGGAGGGGGTATAAAGTTCTGCCTCTATGTCCCATCCGGAGCCCAGACCTCAGAACATCAAGATGTCTGTGTAACAGGGTCCAGACTGACCATTTGGAAACTCGGGCACTGCCCGAGGGCCCGGGGTCAGTAGGGGGCCCCATGAGATGCCTTTGGTACCTTTTTCATAGACTTTTTTGAGTGTGGGCAAGGACACAGGGGCCCATGATCCCCTATTGCCCGGGGGCCCCATGAGTTGTCAGTCCGCCCCTGCTGTGTAATGTATCAGCATTGCTCTATTTCTTTTCTAGAACTTTCTCTCCTATAGTCATCTCTCTGTAATATTCTGTATGTTATACTGGAACGTCTATTATTTTTTTTATGTAATATCATATCTTTTGTTTGACTCGATTAGTAACTACTTTTCTTCTGTGTAAGTAAATTAGATCTTTATTTATTTTTTGCACAGTTGTTATCCTTGTTATTAACATTATTGATAACAGCCGGATGGGGATTGGCTGAATTCCTGTATAGACAAAAGGTTATTATCACTGATTACATTTATAATCCTAGATAGATCCTAGTAAATAAGTGTGGGAGGAAAACCACCAAAACACGGGTGACTGGTACCGATGATCACAGTTGCTGCTGACCTCAGCTGCTGCAGATAGCCATTGTCCTTAGCAACCTCTGCTGATCTGGAGACAGTGTCCATGTACTTCAACAGTAGGGGCTGCAGACTATCTCCCACATGTCCTCTGCCAAGGCACACGTGGCTCTCCTCTCCTTCCTCCCTGCAAAGCCTCCTGGTCCCTGTAGTTCTGTGCAGTATGAAGTTACATTGTCTGCCTATGTGATCAAAACTGCAACTCCCACAAACACTCCAGTATTGCTGAGAGCTCAGCCAATCAAACCCTTCCTGACAACACGCGGTCTTAAAAGGGAAACAGCAATGGCCCTGCTACAAAAGCAAAAATGCAGATTTATTTTTTATTTTCCATTTCATGTGATTGGCTAGATTAGTCTTTAACCCCTTCCCTACCGGGCACTTATACCCCCTTCCTGCCCAGGCCAATTTTCAGCTTTCAGCACTGTTGCACTTTAAATGACAATTGCGCAGTCATGCAACATTTTTATCATTTTTTTCGCACAAATAGAGCTTTATTTTGGTGGTATTTACTCACTGCTGGGGGTTATATTTTTTGTGCTATAAACAAAAAAAGAGCAAAAAAAAAGTTTTTCTTTGTTTCTATTATACAATTTTGCAAACAGGTCATTTTTCTCCTTCACTGATGTGCATTGGTGAGGCGGCACTGATAGGCAGCACTGATGGACACTGATAGGCAGCACTGATGAGCTGGCACTGATGAGGTGGCACTGATAGGCACTGACTGAAAGCACTGACTGGGCACTGACTGGTGCAACTGCTGGGCACTGACTGGCATCACGGCTGGGCACTGCTGGGTGGCACTGCTGGGCTGCACTGATGGGCACTGGAGTATGGCACAGGTGGGTGGCACTGCTGGGCATTGATTGGCACTTGTGGGTGGCACTGCTGGGCACTTATGGTTGGCACTGCTGGGCACTTGTGGGCAGCACTGCTGGGCACAGATGGGTGGCACTGATGGGCACCAATCATCAGTGCTGGTCCCTCCTCTGACAACTGCCGAGAATGCTGTGACAGCGTGAGGAAAGTGCAGCCGATAACCAGCAACTGTATTTCCCGGTGATCAGCGTGTCATTGGACACGGCTGATCACGTGGTAAAAGGCCGCTGTGATTGGCCTGTTACCATATTACGTGATCAGCTGCGTCCATAAGACACAGCGATCACAGAGATCGCCCCCAGGGGTGCGCAGGAGAGTGCGTTCTGGGAGGACGTCATATGACTCCCTCCCAGAACTGGCCGGTCGCGGTGAAGCCGTCATTCGGCTATCTGCGGTCGATAAGTGATTAACCCTTTGAGGACCAAGGGACGTATTTGTCCCATGTTTTTAATTGCCTGTATCATCTGATTAAGAACTTAAAACTCTTTTTTTTTTCTGGTTTGAGTCAAAATATTAGTTCTTATCAACAAATGGATCTAACTTTTTGCCAATTATTTCATGAAATGGCTTAGTTACAGCAACTGAAGCGTACGAACTTTAAAAACAAAAAAATTGATTCTTTTGGCGTTCCAAAATCTTACGGTCCTCAAAGGGTTAACCTGCTGATGGAAACATTTTCCAGTTTTGCAGCGATGAAGCCTGCAATTTGTGTGCACATGAGTGAGGATCAGGAGGCTGGGGAGCGCAGTTGGACTCTCCAAGTGCCATTGCTCCAAAGCTTAGTAAATGAGGTAAAACTTCACTTTGCAAAGCATAACCAATCACATGCAAAGAAAAAAAATACAACAGCATTTTTGCTGGAAGATGATTGGACGATGGACGTCAGAACTTCTGCTCATTTGCTAAGCTTTGGAGCAATTGCACTTGTAGAGTACAGCTACACTTTGCAGGGTGCACGGTGCTAATTGCCTGTAATAAACCAACCCCTATGTGTCAGAAACATGACAATCTGAATGTTAGCTGAAATTATTAATCCTTTGATCTTTCATGGGGGGGGGGGGGGGGGTCACGTACCTGATGGGAGACTGAATTGACAAGGTTGGCCTCACTTGTGTCACTAGCCCTGACCCCGCTGAGGTTGGAACAGAGGGAGTCTAGGGACCAGGGGAACAAGAGTGCCAGGGGGACCAGAGCTCCAGGGGGACAAGAGCGCCAGGGGGACAAGAGCACCAGGGGGACAAGAGCGCCAGGGGGACAAGAGCGCCAGGGGGACAAGAGCGCCAGGGGGACAAGAGCGCCAGGGGGAAAAGAGCGCCAGGGGGACAAGAGCGCCAGGGGGACAAGAGCGCCAGGGGGAAAAGAGCGCCAGGGGGACAAGAGCGCCAGGGGGACAAGAGCGCCAGGGGGACAAGAGTTCCAGGGGTTGTTGCTTGCGGCTCTTGCAGGTGATGACCTTGGTAGGCAGAGTGTCCTCTGATTTGGGCACCGTAGAAATAGACCAGGCAGGTTCTGGGCAGGGGTGGACTGACAACTCATGGGGCTCCCGTGCCCGTGCAATAGGGGATCATGGGGACCCTGTGTCCTTGCCCAAACTCAAAAAAGCCTATGAAAAAGGTACCAGGGGCATCTCATGGGGCCCCCTACTGACCCCGGGCCCTCGGGCAGTGCCCGAGTTTCCAAATGGTCAGTCCGCCCCTGGTTCTGGGTAATGCCCGATGTGAGGTTCTGGGTAATGCCCGATGTGCAGCAGAGCAAGGTAGGTAGCCATGACACAGGACTGGAGCAGGGTCATAGGATAGCCGGGGTCATCAACAGTCGGGCAGCACAGTACAGAATCAGAAGGAAAAGCCAAAGTCAGGAACCAGGAGCAGGAGAGTAAGTCGGGTCGGGTCAGGAACAAGCCGGGTCAGCAACAAAGAAATCGTACAGGAGCAAGCAGGACACGGGGGGACCTGAAGACCAGTCAGCACTGAACCTGAGCAGAAGCCCTCCTTAAATGGGCTGTCTGGCGCCAATCTTCACCGTGCGTGTGCGCGATCGCGCCTGCGCACAACCGGCAATTCTTCTGCGGGAATTCCTATGCGCATATGCGTTCCCGATTGCGATTCTTCTCGCCGGAAATCCCTTACAGGGGGCATTACCAGGGTTCTACCAGTGATACCCACTCCAGGCTCTGCTCCACCTGAATGTCTCATCCGAACATATCATCTCTGTCCCTCCACACGCATGTTGCTTTTTCTAAATCCACCCAAAACCATTTACTTTCTCCGTGTCTTTTGGTACATTGCTGCCTTCACCATTTGTTGCTCTGTCTGCATCATTAGGATGTTTAGGTTGCCCTGTAGGTGTCATAGCTAGAGATGAGCGAAGTATTCAAAAATTCGATTCGGCTGATTCGGCGAATTCGAGGAATAAATGCGATTCGATGCGAATATATTCGCTGCAAATTTAACTTATAAAAGGGTGTTTCTAGGCTTCAGAGAGCCTTTATATTAGTGCAGAACACTGTACCTTTAATTTAAATGCCCTTGGAGTCTGCTGGGGAAGAGAAATAATACTGTCAGTCAGTATGACATGCAGATGAGTGCCGTCGATCTTAGAATCACCGCACACTTCACTAATTTGGCCAGTCACGGGGCCAAAACCAGAGTGTGGAGCCACAGTGTGGCGGTGGAGGCAGCAGCAATGGGAGGCCATACAGCACCCTATGACAAAAATGGAACCCACCAGCAGTGTGAGGAGACCTGAAAGTGGCACATGGCAGAGTGTGGCGATGGAGACAGCAGCAATGGGAGGCCGTACAGGGACCCATAACACACTCTGGACCTGGCAGCAGCATGAGGAGGCGGTACAGGGGCCCATGACAGATTACGGGCCTGGCAGCAGCATGAGGAGTCGGTACGGGGGCCCATGGCAGATTACGGGCCTGGCAGCAGCAATGGGAGGCCATACAGCACCCTATGACAAAATGGAACCCACCAGCAGTGTGAGGAGACCTGAAAGTGGCACATGGCAGAGTGTGGCGATAGAGACAGCAGCAATGGGAGGCCGTACAGGGACCCATGACACACTCTGGACCTGGCAGCAGCATGAGGAGGTGGTACAGGGGCCCATGGCAGATTACGGGCCTGGCAGCAGCAATGGGAGGGCCCGTAATCTGCCAGCACCCTATGACAAAATGGAACCCACCAGCAGTGTGAGGAGACCTGAAAGTGGCACATGGCAGAGTGTGGCGATGGAGACAGCAGCAATGGGAGGCCGTACAGGGACCCATTAGACACTCTGGACCTGGCAGCAGCATGAGGAGGCGGTACAGGGGCCCATGGCAGATTAGGGGCCTGGCAGCAGCAATGGGAGGCCCGTAATCTGCCAGCACCCTATGACAAAATGGAACCCACCAGCAGTGTGAGGAGACCTGAAAGTGGCACATGGCAGAGTGTGGCGATGGAGACAGCAGCAATGGGAGGCCGTACAGGGACCCATTAGACACTCTGGACCTGGCAGCAGCATGAGGAGGCGGTACAGGGGCCCATGGCAGATTAGGGGCCTGGCAGCAGCAGCAATGGGAGGCCCGTAATCTGCCAGCACCCTATGACAAAAAATGGAACACACCAGCAGTGTGAGGAGACCTGAAAGTGGCACATGGCATGGCAGGGTGATTCATGGCGGATTTAGTCAGTTGTGTCAGGAACTGGTGGTTTCAAATCCAGACTAATCCACGCCCCATGATTCATTTTCACAAACGTGAGTCTCTCCACACACATGGGTGGACAGTCGTACCTCCGCCCAGTTACAATACCTCCTGCCGCACTAAACACGCGCTCCGATGCCACGCTACTGGCCGGGCATGACAGCCTTTCAAGGGCAAATTCAGCTAGTTGGGGCCAAAGGTCAAGTTTCGTTGCCCAGTAGTCAAGGGGATTGTCTACCTCGGTTGGCAGGGTGCTGTCCAAGTAGGCCCAAGCCTGTTGTTTGAGGTCCTGGCTCCAGGTCCACCTGATGCTGCTGCTGCTGCTGCGGCTGGTTAGTAGTTTCCTCACTGCGCTGGTGAAGAAAGCTACTCATCATCGACTGCAGACTGAGGCAGCCAGCTGCTGGTGGAGCTGCCACTGCTCCTACCACCCCACCCCTCCCCTGCTGCCATGGCAGCGGAACGCGAGCGCACAGGGCCCACAGTGTCTGAGGATGGACGTTGGCGCAGAAAGGCAGAGACCAGCTGACTACATAGGTGGTTTTTATAGTACTTATTTTTGGCCTCCCTCTCAGCAGGTGTGAAAAAGGCCACCATTTTTGAACGGTAGCGAGGGTCCAACAAAGGTGGACAGCCAAAAGTCATCCCTCTGTCTGATGGTTATTATTCGGCTGTCGCTACGCAAGCAACCGAGCATGCTATGGGCCATTTGTGCCAAGGAATGCGAGGGACTCCCTGCCTCCATCTCCACAGCATACTGCCACGGTGCGTCTGGGTCCAGGTCTGTCTCCCTCCTCCTCCTCCTCTACCAGATGCTCCTGCTCCTCCACTCCTGTCCGCTGAGTGGAAAAACCACCCATTTCACTCAATAATTCCTGAGCACCCAATGTCCTCCTCTACCTCCTCCTCTTCTTCCTGTCCTGCCCCCACAGGGGTCATGTGGCGTTGAGATCTGTGCGCCACGTCTACCGCACCCTGACCACCCATGTGTTAACAGCATTTGTTCCAGGACGTGCAACAGAGGAATGACGAGGCGTTACAGGGACCCATAGAGACCTGCCGACTCACAATATGAGGTGGCCTCCTCAAAGGGCCTGAGCAAGCGGCCTGTCACAGCATGGGAGCTGCCCGTAATCTGCCACATCCTATTACACAGGGGAGTACCTTTATCCGCTTGTAACATCAGAAATCGTGATGGCCTTTCGCTGTTCGATGTAAAGCGGTCAACATGGGATGTAGGGTTGAATTCCACCTTGTTGCAACGTCACAGCATGAGGAGTTGGTACGGGGGCCCATGGCAGATTACGGGCCTGGCAGCAGCAATGGGAGGCCCGTAATCTGCCAGCACCCTATGAAAAAAATGGAACACACCAGCAGTGTGAGGAGACCTGAAAGTGGCACATGGCAGAGTGTGGCGATGGAGACAGCAGCAATGGGAGGCCGTACAGGGACCCATGAGAGACTCTGGACTGGCAGCAGCATGAGGAGGCGGTACAGGGGCCCATGGCAGATTACGGGCCTGGCAGCAGCAATGGGAGGCCCGTAATCTGCCAGCACCCTATGACAAAATGGAACACACCAGCAGTGTGAGGAGACCTGAAAGTGGCACATGGCAGAGTGTGGCGATGGAGACAGCAGCAATGGGAGGCCGTACAGGGACCCATGAGAGACTCTGACCTGGCAGCAGCATGAGGAGGCGGTACAGGGGCCCATGGCAGATTACGGGCCTGGCAGCAGCAATGGGAGGCCCGTAATCTGCCAGCACCCTATGACAAAAAATGGAACACACCAGCAGTGTGAGGAGACCTGAAAGTGGCACATGGCAGAGTGTGGCGATGGAGACAGCAGCAATGGGAGGCCGTACAGGGACCCATGAGACACTCTGGACCTGGCAGCAGCATGAGGAGGCGGTACAGGGGCCCATGGCAGATTACAGGCCTGGCAGCAGCAATGGGAGCCCGTAATCTGCCAGCACCCTATGACAAAAAATGGAACACACCAGCAGTGTGAGGAGACCTGAAAGTGGCACATGTTTGGGGCATGATTCATGGCGGATTTAGTCAGTTGTGTCAGGAACTGGTGGTTTGAAATCCAGACTAATCCACGCCTGATTCATTTTCACAAACGTGAGTCTCTCCACACTTTGGGTGGACAGTCGTGTCCTCCGCGGAGTTACAATACCTCCTGCCGCACTAAACACGCGCTCCGATGCCACGCTACTGGCCGGGCATGACAGCCTTTCAAGGGCAAATTCAGCTAGTTGGGGCCAAAGGTCAAGTTTCGTTGCCCAGTAGTCAAGGGGATTGTCTACCTCGGTTGGCAGGGTGCTGTCCAAGTAGGCCCAAGCCTGTTGTTGAGGTCCTGCTCCAGGTCCACCTGATGCTGCTGCTGCTGCTGCTGCTGCGGCTGGTTAGTAGTTTCCTCACTGCGCTGGTGAAGAAAGCTACTCATCATCGACTGCAGACTGAGGCAGGCAGCCGCTGCTGGTGGAGCTGCCACTGCTCCTACCACCCCCCACCCCTCCCCTGCTGCCATGGCAGCGGAACGCGAGCGCACAGGGCCCACAGTGTCTGAGGATGGACGTTGGCGCAGAAAGGCAGAGACCAACTGACTACATAGGTGGTTTTTATAGTACGTTATTTTGGCCTCCCTCTCAGCAGGTGTGAAAAAGGCCACCATTTTTGAACGGTAGCGAGGGTCCAACAAGGTGGACAGCCAAAAGTCATCCCTCTGTCTGATGGTTATTATTCGGCTGTCGCTACGCAAGCAACCGAGCATGCTATGGGCCATTTGTGCCAAGGAATGCGAGGGACTCCCTGCCTCCATCTCCACAGCATACTGCCACGGTGCTCTGGGTCCTCTGTCTCCTCCCTCCTCCTCTACCAGATGCTCCTGCTCCTCCACTCCTGTCCGCTGAGTGGAAAAACCACCCATTTCACTCAATAATTCCTGAGCACCAATGTCCTCCTCTACCTCCTCCTCTTCTTCCTGTCCTGCCCCCACAGGGG